TTCCACGACAATAAATTTAGGCTCAAAACTTGCTCTTTCCGTTAAAAGGTTAGACAAAAAGAAAGCTACAAGGATAAGCACTTGATTCTAGATCCGTCTTCCTTTAGACAAAATGGAATTCTCATTGATATGGTGGCTTATTTACGGCCTTGGCAAATTTTAAATGAGTTTTAGAACCGCGTCCACTTTCCGGGCCAGGGCTAAGGTCAGGGACAGGTCTGAAGAAGGTCGTGGTCAACCTAAACCATCCTGACCTTGTACATAAAACAATAAGAAAATCGTTTGATCGGACTGCAGCACTATCAAAATAAGTAAATCCTCACTTCATAACTCATTGAAAATTTCAAGTCTAAGTAATGGAAAACTTGTATATTGATCATCTCGACTTGATCATTAATTATGGTTGTGATGAAAAAAAATTAAGATTTCATGCTCTAAAAATAATGTATATTGTAACAAATTACCTAAACCATACATTTCGCCCTAAAAATATAGATTAAAAAACACATAATCAATTTATATGTCAGGGTCCAATTGACCTAGTTCCAACCCGAGTCCCTACCCATTATCAGCCCCAAGCAACGGCATCATCTCGTTCTCCAAAATTAAAGAGGCAACAATTGGGCCTGGCTGCCTTGCCAGCTAAGCCCATGCCTGAGCATATGAGGGGCACGCCTAGGCAAGTCTAAAGGAACCTTGAGGTCTAGGGCTTTGGCTTGTAGACCCAACCCGGTGTAGCCCACCGCTACTTCTAGTAATGAGTCTTAAAGTTTATGGCTAAGAGTCGTTTAGAGGCAAATTTTATTTTAGCAAAGTAATTGTTTTCAGCAAATGCTACAAGGGAAATTTATCAAGAAAGAACATAAAATATTACTTATGTAAAGGGCAATGATTTCATGCAACTGTTGTATAATAATATGATGCAATAACCTTAAAAAATTATTTTATGGCCATTTGTTTGATCCAAATTTTGAAATATACACTCTTGTCATTCTAATGAACAGTAACAAAAAAATAAAAAATTGAAAGCACAACCTAGAAAGTATTTTTTTAGCTCAATTAACATAGGCCGTTCATTTTGGTGAAATGCTTAGATCTAGGTCTTAGAAGGATTTTTTTCATTTCCAATTTTTTGGATGGCTTAATTATCATTAGATGAACAATGTTAAAAAATAAACAAATGATTTTGAGTTTATAAAGGCTAAGATCTAGAAATTCACAAAATGAATGGTCTAGATTCGTTTTTGGAGGGGACTCATTTTGGCCATATCTAGGATTCAAATTGAACTTTTTTTTTTGGGGGCATTGATTATTGAGATAAAGAAAGTGTGTGCAAAATTTAGAGTCACACAAATACCACAAACATGGTTTTCTAGAAGTGTCATTGCATTATACTATAATACAACCACTGTATTGGATCATTGCTCCTATGTAAGGGCAAATTTCACTTGTTTATCAATAGGACTAGCAGTGGCCCAGGAGCCTGACCCTGACCCTGACCCTGACCGGCCCTAAAATGGTATGGCCTGAGCCATAAATTGTGGCCTGAGGGTCATATTAGCGCTACTGCCAACCCCACCTAACCCTCTTTATTTTTTCTTGTGTTTTTTCTTCATTTGGTTTTGGCCAAGTCCGGCACTAATAGGGTTGGGCCTTGGCCTAGCCCGGCGCTATAGAAACAAGGGCTTGGCTGGCCTGACCTGTTGCCACCTTTATTTATCATAATACATCTAAAATATAAATATTTGAATTCATGCTTATGTCTTTTAATTAAATCTTCGATATTAAATCAAAAGATATAAGAATGCTGTTAAATAATTTATTTCGTGCGTACTTTTCCATAAATTTCCCTTATGATAAAAGTATTTTTTTTGTTTTATCCTTTTTGGTGCACAAAAAAAAATTAAGTGAGATATTAATAGCTTATCTCTTGTATAGTAGTCAATCTCTTTGATAAAAGGTTTGTCTACAAAGAGATCATGTATCTTTTGTACATGGAGATCACAATAATTTTTGTCTCTTAAATTTCAAAATGGGTGATTGTAAGAGTATTATTGAATAAATACAAAGTTCCAAAGAATATTTCTCCGATTTTTTTTCAATTTCTTTTCTTTTTCTGTAGGTCAGCGGACATTTACACATGGACATCGTGTTTTTTTTTACATATGATATAAACCGTAAAAGATATTACCATCCTCATTTTAGGAGACCATCATATATGGTTGTTGATATATGATGGTTTTTGAGGTCACAACCATTATGACCTCCAAAATCATCACATGTGGCCGTTCGTTAAGAAAAGAATGTCATTGTCACCCTAAACCATCATATATGAAATAGGGTGGCTAGAAATGTATGACAAATACAATAGAATATTATATATAATGAGACTATTTATTTTTTATACAAGGAGGTCACAGTCGTTAAAGACTATTGGGTGTGAAATCAGGTAGTCGGGGATGTATTATTGATCGGGTACAAAGTTCAAAACAATATCTCTCAAATATTGTGACACAAATTTGCATCAATGGTTAAAAATGATTGTGACCTCCTTAAACCAAAAGCAAATAATCTCGTATTATACAATCCAAATATAAAAGGTGAGTAAAAGCTTTGTGTGTGGAGTAACACATCTCAAACCACTCAATTTCACTGAGATTAACCATTACTTTTTTACTTTATTCTAGAGATTGAGGATCATAGTTTTAAGTATTTTTCCAAAAGAAGACGTATAAAGTTAGATCTTGTATGTTAGATGCAGTTTACATATCGTAGCAACATTAAATAATCAAATTAAGGTGCATCTCCAATTTTTACTATTGGTGTAAAAAATTCTTAGAATAGCATGATAACCCATTTTCATCTCTATATAAAAGTTTGAACTTCAAAAATAGTTCAAATCAAGTAGATCTATAAACATATGAAAATCTTAAAAATGAATAGTCCAGATAACGTGTTGCGAGATATACTATTTTGCAGACTCGAAATCTTTTTTTCTTTTCATATTCATATATCTTGACGTCGAGATAATCAATTAAAAGGTTTTCTAACGTCAACACAACTTTTTATGATGGATCTTTGCGGTACACCTTAATTTTACATTTTAAAGTTGCAACTTTCCATCGTTAAATTGGTGAGTTTTTGCATAGTAACTGAAAATTTCTCTTATTCACTCAAAAGAAATTCCAAATTGCTTTTCAGAACTTAAAAAATGTCAAAGCGGAATTTCACTGAATTGCAGTATGCTTATTGTACGGTTGTACCCCATTTATCATCCCTTAATTTCACAAAACATAAATTTTGCCAAATACTACTTATAAAAAGAAAATGGTTCGATAGGGCTGTCAAAATAAGTAGAGCGTCACCTCATAACTCATCAAAAATTGCAATTCAAATGTTAAAAAACCTTTAAGTCGATCATCTCAGCTTGAACAATATGGGTGTGAAAAAAAAAATTGAGATTTCAGAGTTCTAAAAACAGGGTATATTGCAACAAATCATCTAGTCCATCAATTTCACCCTAAAAATAAGTGTTCACATATCCACAAGATATGTACCATTTTTTTCAGTTTCAAATTTAATTGTCGGTATTGGAAATTGATTTTAGAGCCATCATGAAGATTTTTCAATACCCCTAGCACTTTTCGATTGAGGATTTGAAGTGAGGCTTTATTTTTGTTTCTATAAAACCTAGGCCCTATAGAAATTTCATCCTTTATAAAATAATTGCATCTCCACCCTTCAATTATTTAATGGGAAAAGTTTATATAGAGCCGAGGCTCTAAACCATCAAATTAGACCCCATCATAAAAATTTCATTCAAAGAGGTTGTTTTGATGTCCAAATATCCTCAAATTGTTCATCTCGACATCAAGATGCATGGACATGAGAAAAAATAGATTTCAAGTTTTGAAAATAGTATATTTTGTAATGCATTTTTGGACCGTCAATTTTCAAGTTTTCATAGATCTATCGATCTACACTATTTTTGAAGCTTTAAACTTTATAAATAACGGTGAAAATATACTCTAAGGCTATCGCAAATATTTCTAATATTGAAACCACATTTCTCGACACTATTTGAAGGTAGGCTCTAATTTGATTGTTCAGAGCCTAGGGTCTATACAAACCCCACCCTTATTTAAATTAAAAGAGAAGAAAAGAAGCATAAATTTTGCAAAAATACTATTTATAAAAGAGTATTATATCTCCCTTCCAATTATTCAGATTATAACGGAAGAAATAGATGGCTAGGATTATATATATTATTTTAATTCTAAAGTTTTTCATTAATTTAAAATTTTGAGGTCCAGACTTTTCAATCATGTACACCTAAACAAAACATAAGAAGATAATTTGAGAAAACGACATTGAAAAACACACCGTGAGATATTTAGGGGTATTTTTATACGTTTTTCTATTGTGTTTCAGCCCTTTATTTATTTATTTATTTATAGGTGTGCTTAGAAGAGTGAGATAACAGGGAAATTCGACTGAAATATAATGTATAGAACAAAATAAAATTAAAATACAAAATACAATTATGCCCCTCTAATTTCTATTTGATAATTGAAACTAGAGGTGGGAAAAAACCCTACACAACCTAGGACCCGACAGCTAGAGCCGACCTTGATCCGGGTATGGGTCCAAAAAATAAACCCGGTGGAGCAGGTCAAAGTCCAAATTTTGGACCAGCACTATTCAGGTCCAAGTCTGGGTTTGGCACAAATTCATGAAAATATATTAGGATATATATAGATATATGGATGTTATAATTTTTGGGTCCGGTCCAATCAGGTTTGGGTCTGGCCCCATAATAGTTTTTGGGGACCCGACCCGCCGCCACCACTACCAACTTCGGCCCCTTGTTTTGTTATGTCAAAACTTGAAAGGGAAAAACAAATTTTCAAGAGGAATCAAATTCTATGTGCTAGAAGACAGGCGGCTCTAGAATTATTCCTCTTTTTCCTAAAAGAAAGTAGATTGTTTAAAAAACATCAAAGGGGAGAGAGGAACAAAATAGAAAGAGAATCGAACCTTACACGTTTCTACTTTCTAGACTCTCTCTCTCTCTCTCTCTCTAAAATTCTCCTACTCTCTCTAGAATTCTTCTACAAGTAATCCACTCTCTCTGTCACAACTTTCTCTGCAAGGAATCCAAACTTTTTCCATTGATCTCTTTCTCTCTGCAAGAACTCATCGACTGTAGAGAGAGAAAGGAACAATACTGTAGAGAGAAAGGAACAAGACCATAGGAAAATTAGGAACTGGGAAAATGGGAGGACAACGAACGGTGGGGATTGGAATGGATTACTCGCAGAGCAGCAAGGCGGCGTTGAGATGGACGGTGGATAATGTGTTGGATCATGGAGATACCTTGGTCCTCATCCATGTCCAATCTCCAAAGGCAGATGTTCCTCAAAAGAAGTTATGGGAAAACACTGGCTCGCGTTAGTTTTCCTTTCTCTCTCTAACTCTTCCTGTTTCTTGCTTTCTTCAATTTTTGAACCTTGGTTTTACTCATTTCCTCTCTCTCTCTTTATTTTTCGTTCATTCTCTCTCTCTTTATTTTCTTCAACCCCTCTCTCTCTCTCTGAATCAGACTCCACTCGGACTCGGGTGAATAATTCAGTGAGATTCCTCAAATTGGGTGCACAACTCTGGGATACAAAAGAGTTCAAAAAAATTTCTAAAAAGTTTAAAAAATACAAAATTATTTTATGATCTTTTCGCGTATGATTTAAATGTATTCAGTTGGGATTAATGATTTTTTTTGCCATAATTATTATTTTTATATATTTTATTTTTTAAGTTTTCTAATATATCCCAAATTATAAATTAATTCTCCTTTCTAATCCATTTGTTCTTCACATTTTTAAGTGTTTTTTAGCTTAAGTTGTTTTAGGTTCAATTTACTTTTATTACATGTTTATTAACTCTTATTTTGTTTAAAATCTTTTTTGTCTTTGGACTCATGACTCAGGCCAATTAGTCCTCTTAGCCGAGGATCGAATGCTTTAGCCGAGAGAGGACCTAATACCTTGGCCGAGTCGATTTTACTCTTAATTTTGGCCCTTTTCATTTCCTTAGTTTCCTCCATTTTATCACTCGTCTTTCTTTTTCTACAATTAATCTCTCTCTACTGGAATTTGTTGGTGTTTTCTATAATTAATCTCTCTCACTTTCTTTCTCTTGCAGCTTTGGTGCCTTTAGACGAATTTCGTGAGGTTAACATATCGAAACAGTACCGGTTGAGCCCAGATCCTGAGGTTCTCGATATTCTTGATACTGTTTCAAGGGCCAAAAACGTATGAATTTTTGTTGCACTTACTGTTCATTTGTTAACCGTATTATACCTAGCAACTTTTCAAAAAACAAAATAAGTATTACAATGTAGGAAAATTATATCATGCCTGCCATTATAATATTCTTTATGGCCAAGTCCGCATATGTGGAAATGCGGGCTTCTTAATCAAATCTATTTTTTAGACGAATTTTAACACTTAATTTTTAAGGACATGTAATTCCTAACATGGAGATCATGAATATGAAAAAATAACTAAATTTTAAAAACTAGAAAGAAAACATTTGGTTGGTTTCTGTTGTTTTTAGATGAAACACTTACTTGCATCAATCTTGACGGATGATTTACATTTTCTGGACTGCAGGACCACATATGTAGAAATGTGGCCCAGCCTTCGTGAGATATTTTTTCCATTATAATATAATGAAACCACATAAAACTATATTTGTGGTAGTTGTAGGACTCAAAATTTTGCACACAAACCATCTTCATCTCAATAATCAATCTCGAAAAAAAATAAAATAAAAATTTGCACCCTTTATATAGTCAAACTGAGTCCTTTCCAACAACAAATCTAAACCGTCCATTTAGTGAAATTCAAGATCTAAGCTTTTATGAATTTAAATCCAATTTTTCTTTTGTTTACGTTGTTAATCTAATGATCATAAAGTTATCTAAATAATTTCCAATGAAAAAAAATCCTTTTAAGACCTAAAACTAAGTATCTCATCAAAATAAACGGCCTATGTTAATTGGTCTAAAAAGGGTGGTATTTTTATTTTTTTATTTTTTTTATTTTTTTGTTTGTGATTGTTCATAAGAATGAAATGAGTGTATATTTTTAAATTTGGATCAACTAGAAGGCTCCAAAATAGTTTTTTAAGATTGTTTAAGGTTCATTTGTTTGTGAAAATGGAAATGTTTGGAACAGGTGAAAGTGGTATTAAAGGTTTACTGGGGGGATCCAAGGGAGAAGCTTTGTGATGCAGTTGACGATTTGAAACTCGGTTCTTTGGTGGTGGGCAGCAGGGGTCTAAGCATGCTAAAGAGGTTGGTTTCTCTTTCTCTCTCTAAATTTACGTCCTTACTAGTTACCTCTCGCTACATCTTTCTCTCTCTAAAACTAGCTCTTTTGTTTGTGATTATTTTCTCTCGAAGCGGCTCCTTTGGTAATTGGTAGACTTTGATCAGGGATTAGTTTTAAAAACTCGGATGAGGCTTGGACCCGTGTTCGAGTAACCATTAAACTTGTCCCAACTCCCAACCCGTCTAAAAACGGTTAAAAAAATGAGTAATTATCTTATAGGACCCTCCTCCACCTATATTTGTAGGACCCTAAAAGATTACCATTAAAGTTGGCATAGATCTCTAAAAAAATTATCACATGAGAGTGGGACTTGATTTTTCTATAGATCCGTATCAAATTTAATAGTGATCATTTAGGATCCTACACATATGGGGGGAGGAAAGTCATATATATGATCATTTCTCTAAAAATATATATAAAAATAAAATGTAAAAAAATTGTATGACAAGTATATTCAAGGACTTAGAGGTCAGGGTTATTTTTGAAATTTTTTGAAACAGGGGAAAATCTAAAAATAAATATTCATGGCTTAAATTATGTCCAATATTTGTCAAAATAAGTATACAATGGGACCATTTATCTTTAGTACAAGGTAGTCACGATTAATCTTGACCATTGGATGTGAAATTAGGTGGTTGTATTTATTATATTAATCAAGTTCAGAGTTTAGATGAAAATTTCTCGTTCTTTATGACACACTTAAGTTATTAGATTTCACATCTGTAAGTAATTGTGATCTCTTTGTACAATAGATAAATGGTCTCAAGGTATACAATCGCTATTCAAAAATACGTTACAAACAAGTCGTTATTTTTTGGGAATTTATATTTTTTAAGAATATCCTACCAGACCACCAAAACCGGATCGACCATTACTCGATTCTGGTTGTTTTGATCGGGCAGCTGTACGATAGACTGGCCGAGTTTACAAATGTGGCTCGGGACTCCTGCTCATGTCCGAGGCCAGCTACTCTCGTGACTTCGAGGGGAAGCCATAAAAGGGCTTAAAACTTAAAAAATGTAAAAAGACTTTTAAAAATAAAAATATCAGTTAAAAGCAAACTAAACAAAACAACTTTGAAAGTAAAAAATAGATGAGAAAAATATAGCAAGTGAAGTTAGGAAAATTTTGATTTATGGCTAAATATAATTAAAAAAATCCACAAAAAAGAATTAGAAAAATAGAGCTAAAAAAATTACAAGTCATCATGAGAAAACTTAAAATTTTATAACCATATCTATATATCGATCAAGTAAAAGTAATTTCCAGAATTTTTATTGTTTGATATTCCAAAACTTGTACACAAGTTTCGAGTCCCAAAAAAACTTAGCCGGTCCCGAGTCGAGCATGTTGAGTTTTAAACCTTGATTCAACTGTTTGTAATGTCAAATCCCGTATTAAAAAAAGGGAAATAGTTTCATGCAGGGCGGGACAATATGTGGTCCAAAGATATAAGGCATCTATGAATGTAAATAGGTAGTTCATTTAAAAACAACTGTAACTACTGGTCCAAATATTTTTTTAATATAATTATTGTTTTTAGTTTTCAAAAAAAAAATCATATTCATGATTCATTATATATTTTCTAAATTATATTTAAAAAATATATTTATTGCCAAACCCGCATTTCTACACTATGCGGGCTGGCTGCGTAGAAATGGTGTCCATTAAACAATGGAGAGTTAGAATGAGAATTAGACGTAGAAGTAGGTTTAGACTGGTCAGGGTATTGACGATTATAGCCACATATTTATTTGCTCCCCAAATTTCTAATATAGAGGCGGCTTACAGAGAGCTAAGGGCTACAACCCACCGGGACAAAGCTCGGTAGATTCTCGACTGGACCGGACCCATGTGAGGGTGGAGTCGAGTCCGACTTCGACCCGACCCAGAATTGGATAAATCTGAGATGGATCCAGATTTGGTAGGATCGGAGTATTTAGAGAAGCGTGAGGTTTGTATACTGTGCCTACTTTATGCTACATAAATAAGGCTTACTTCTAAATTTTGCATGAAGATATAGTTTTAGTGTTGGAAATCTGGCATGAGAATCTATATTCAACTCTAATTATAAAATTTAAAATTAAAAAAATAGTACAAATTGAGTAGATTTATAAATATTTGAAATTATGGAAAATAAATGATCCAGATAACTTGTTATAAGATGCAGTACTTTAGGACTTGAAATTCTTTTTTTTTCTTTAAATCAAAACATCTTGATGTCGAGATGATCAATTTAAGGTGTTTTAACTTTAGAATAATCTTTTCTAGTAGATTTTTTAGGTGTATCTTACATGTATAGTATAAGGTTGCAACCTTCTATTAACTTTCTCCTTTAAAGAAAGGGTGTGGTTTCTATAAGGCTGCAACCTTAAACAATCCAATTCGCACCTCCAACTTTTATATTAATATATAATTTTGGAGTAAAAAATTATTAAGATTATCTGAAAATCTATTTTCATATCTAATTATAACATTTTAAACTCCAAAACTTGTTAAAATCAAATAGATCTATAGACATATGAAAATCTTGAAATGGATGGTCTAAATAATGTGTTGCAAGATGCACTCTTTTTGGGACTCGAAATCCTTTTTGTTTTCATATTCATACATCTCAATGTCGAGATGATTAATTATAGGGTTTTTCAACATTAAAACAACATTTTCCAAAGGATTTTTGATGTGCATCTTGGATCCTACATTTTAAGGTTGCAACTTTTTTCCTTAAAGAAATAGGGTATTTGTAATTAGGAAAAAGTTTATATAAGCTGTCAACCTTATACTATAGATATAAGTTGCACCTAAAAAACCCATCAAAAAGGGTTATTTCATCACTAGAAAATTCTGTAATTGATCATCTTGACCTCGATATATATATATATATATATATATCTTATGAAAGAAAAAATAAATTTTAAGTCTTAAAAATAGTACATCTTGTAACACATTATTTAGACTGTCTATTTTTTAAAAATTTGAGTGCTCATAAATCTATTAGATTTGCACTATGTTTTGAGCTTTTAATTTCATTACAGAGGTGAAAAGTAAACTTTTAGCCATGATAAGAGTTTTGGCACCAAAAATATATCTTTCAATGAGATTTTAAAGCGCGTGATTGTTTAAGTCTTGAAATCATTACGTATGAGCATACTCATTAATTCCTCGGGTAAACATGCTTCTTGGAAGGGTCTATTTATCTGAATATTTGGGATCTAAGAAAGCATCAATTAGTTCCCAAGAAAATCAAAATTTAGATTTAGAGTTCAACATTTATATATTGGTATAAATTTGTCAAAATTATTGTCATTAAGATAAAATGTGGCAAAGTTTTACGTTGGCAGCTTATTTAACTACACAACCCTCCTCTTTTATTCAAGCTCGGGACAGGCATACTGCCATGGCAGAATTATAAATTTGTCAAAATAATCAAATAAAAATAAAAAATTTCAAATAAAAAATGAAAAACTAGGATCAATTTCATAAATTAGAGCTTCGTAATGTGCCGATGCCATCATCTAGTTTCACTTTGTTTGACCAGATGATATATTTCACTATTTAGAATGAATTGTTCTCCGATAAAACTGAAACTCCAGGTTCCTTGTGTCGTACATTACCAGGTTGATTTGACTCATTTGGAAGACAATTTAAACCTAAGAATGCTTATTGATGGTCGTATAATAAGTTTAGATGGTTGAAATGCTAAACTAATTTTAGTTCTATGGTTATGTGATTCACGTACGGACCTTAATACTTTACCTAAAATATAAAATGGGGCAATTTTAGACATAATTAATTATATATAAAGTCGGTCAACTTGTATTTTTTTATTTTATTTTTTTTTCAAAATTGTCTTTTGGTTTGAGAATATCATCCTCACATAGTAATATATTATTTTATACTTTTTAGTTTTTCGTTAGTAGGACAGTGCCCCCATGCTTTATGGTGGTCCAAGGTTGAGATCCTCATACCACCCTCTAGACTTAGCAGGCTTAGTTCTTGAGTGGTCCGAGGTCTCCATCTTCAAACTACTTTGTCTTTCTTATATTTTGAGAAAAACAATTGTTTGAGGTCCATATCCTCATATTGTACTTTATTTCTTATTTTTTGAGAGAAAGCAATGCCCCTAAAGCGTGGGGCACTGCCCTACTAATGAAAAAACTAAAAAGAAAAAATTAAAATGCAGTTAGAGAATTCATCCTCAAATCAAGAAACAATTTATAAAAAAAAAAAGAACAAGTTGACCGACCTTCTTTATAATTTCGGTACGATAATTTACCGTTGGTTTTTTACTTGGCAGGGTTCTTTTAGGGAGCGTGAGCAACTACGTTGTAACGAATGCTGCATGTCCAGTGACCGTTGTAAAAGCAGCACCCTCATCCAAGCCCTAAATTTTTCTTTTTTCTTTTTCTTTGTCTGCATATTTATGTTTGGGTTCTATTATTGTTTGGGTGATCTCTCTCTCTCTCTAACTCAAACCACCTTTGCTTTGTTAAGAGTTTTCCGTCTGTGCTTCTTGTTAAAGATTTTTTCCTATTTGATTTTATTTTGCATGTATGACTTAGTGTTATTTCCTTGAATCTATATTATTTGGGCTTCTGGGGTTTGGACCATGGGGTTCGTGTAGGTGATGGTTCTTATGGCTTATAAAACAAAGGTTGTGCCTAATCAGATTCTGAATTTAATTTTTAAGATGTATTAACGGTGGGAATGGCGGGTGGGATGAGGCATTTCTCCCCTGACCATGATTATGAATTTAATTACTAGTCAATAGAATCTGATTCTCTTATACGTGCTTCAGAAAACGTCAAATTGGATTAAGAATTGTCGATCTGAATTGTAAATGTTAGTTTTTTACTGGTTCGGCCGATCTGGATCACGGATTTGTTTGATATGGAGTGGTACAGGGGAGGGGCGATCCACACGGTCAATCTGTGTTTTAAGACACTATCAATTGTTTCTATACAGAATGGCATGCATGCACATCAACTCTGATGGGTATCTATCGCATTAACATTCAAAAAAACAAAAAATGTATAGCACGTGATGGTTAAGAATTGTTATCAATACCGGACATGAAGAACCAATTTGTTCAACCAGAGAGCCAAGCAAAATCTTGGCTGGTCAAATCTACAAACCCAATCAAAATCAACATATGGCTTCTTTGCCTGGTTAAACAAAGTTAAACAATTTTTTTTTATGTTATATTATATATCTAGTATTATTTTTTTCTTTATATTTTTGAATTCCACTAAAAAAAAAATTCAATCGGTGATTTGATCGATTTCGATTAGACCGAACCCATCATCAGTTTCAATCGATCAGTTTTTCTTTGTTTACCATTTCGACCCACGAACTAAGATTTACTGCCCGTTATTTGGCCTCCATTCCTACTGTTAACATATCATTAAAAAAACAAAAAAGATCCCTAAGCAAAACAAAACTAACAATGTTTTGAGACCGACCCCCTTAACCATAAACTGTATTCTCTTAACCAAGGGGTACCAAGGAATCTTCCTTCAAATTGTCAAAGACAATATGTAATATTTGTGAGTGTGACATACACACATGTTGGAAATTGTAGCCTTTGAGGCCTTTTTATTCGAGACATCTAATTATTATGGGCATGAACATATTAGTTAATAATATCATATTATTGACGTAAAAAGAGTTATACATAGACATAAATACTTCTAGATCTTTAATGGCTGAATTAATTTTAATGGGAGTTTTAAGAGCTGGGTGATAGCTTGTCAAAACTCCCAATGCCTTTAAGGTGAATAAAGATAAGGAGTCATCTTTTGGATCTCAAACCCTATAGGCCATTAACTATTATAATTAATTCTCTAGGGTAGGGACTCTATAAAATAGAGGGTTTCTTAAATAATGTCATGAAATAAAAATAAAAATAAAAATAAAAATAAAAATAAAAAAAGAAAAGATAAAGAACAATGATTTGCTCGCATTGTATACCCGTCACCATGGGGTTTAGCCTATAGTATTTGGAATAGCACCCAATGCTCTTTATGTAGTTTGGGGGCATATCTAAGTATCAATAATCCTATCAATGCATTCTTTTGTTTTTTATGGGTGTGGTTTGCATAAGGTTGTAACATTAAACAATCAAGGCACACCTCTAAATTTTATTATAAATGTAATTTTGATATAAATTTTTTTTAGGATAGTTTGAGAATCTATTTTCATCTCTAATTATAAAATTTTAAACTTTGCAAGATAATATGTTGCAAGATATACTATTTCGTAGGTTCGAAATATTTTTTTTTTTTTCATATTCATACATCTCGATGTCGATATAATAAATTAGGGGGTTTTTCAACATCCAAACAACCTTTTATGATGGAATTGAAACCTTACATAAACTTTTTCCTTTTTTATTTATTGTGTTTGTTTTTTTCTTGGCAACAACACGTACATAGATATAGGATGGTAACATTTATATTTAGGAGTGTGCTTATGTTTATGATACACACCCACTCCTCTTTAAGAGGAAGAGAGAGGGATTATTTGTGAATTCTTCAAAACCCTACAAAAGTAGAAGTCACTACAAATGAGAATAATAGAGAGAGAGCTAAGGAATTTTTAGGGCAGAATATATAGGCTGTCTCTTCTTAAGAAAGATTTAGCTTAAAAAATTTTAGAAAATTGTAGATTTTTCTTCCTCAAGAAAAAGGGTTCCAATCACCTAGGTGCCCTAAACTCCTTTAACCTGCCACATATCTTCTTTAGGGATAAGGATCCCATTTCATTATTGTGACAAGTGTCTAACCCTTCACTGTGGGATAATTCTTGTGACACAACTGTAGCTTTAGAAGGTAGTAAAAAAATGTTATAGATAACTATACACTATCAATTCTAAAGTTTTTGTAATATTTATTTGTTTTTGGGTAGTTGTAATATTTATTTGTTTTCCATCATTCAACAAATAGCTTTCCATTTAAATTGACTTAATCATAACCTTTGGAAAAATAAAATAAAACAAAATAATCGCTTTATATCTTTAGAGAGAGAGAGTGAGCCACGAAGATAAATTAATTTAGTGTGAATTGAGAATACTAATCTAGAAGGTTATCAACATTCTTGTACTCTCTCTCTCTCTCAAAGTATGAACCTCTCCATTGAGTCTTATTAACTCGGGGTTCTAAACACAGGATTAAAATATTCTTTTAATTTTTAAAATCTGATTATTTTTAACTTTTATCGTTCGATACCAATATTTATTGCTTAAGAAAGTTGTCAATTTAAACTTTTTTTATTTAAAATTTGAAATAAATTATATGAAAGGCCTGTGAATTTGGGGTCTAAATATTCTCTCCCAAAAGTAGGAAAGTCTCTCCTTGTAAAGTCCTAAAATAAGATTTTGAAAGATAAATTTAATTTTTTCCATTATTTATAAAAGGAAAAATTTTATATAGAGCCGAGGTTCTAAACAATCAAATTAGAGCCCACCTCAAAAATTTCACAAGAAGAGGTTGCTTTGATGCCCAAATATCCTCAAATTTATTCTCTCGACATCAAGATGCATGGACATCAAGAAAAAAAAAAAAAGGATTTTAAGTTTTGGAAATATGCATCTTTGTAACGCATTTTAGGACCGTCAATTTTTAAAAAAATTAATTTTTAATAAATATTCTAAATCTACACTATTTTTTAAGCTTTAAATTTTATAACTAAAGATAAAATATAATTTAAAGTTGTCACAAATATTTCCAATATTGAAATCACATTTCTCGACACTATTTGGAGGTGCGCTTTACTTTGATTGTTTAGAGCCTCAGCTATTTACAAACCATACCCTTTAGAAAAATATGACCCTTTCTTTGTAGTTTGTACTTTTAATTTTCCTTTATAGTTCATTATTATTTAAAATAGTTTCCAATTTAAAATAAAAGTCATCAAAGATTTTCATCCACATTTAAAAAACGGCGGGGAGAAGTTTTAGGGAATACACTTTTTGGATCTAAAATTGTGACCACCATAATCATAAAAAATAAAAATAAAGAATTTTGGAAACTTAAAACAATTTATTTTAAACTTTATTTTTGGATCATTTATTTTGGCTCTTTGACTATTATGTTGGTCTTTTGAGTTGTAAAATCATAGAGCTAATGCAGAAATGTACCTAAATTATTTTATGATATGTTTCCCCTTCTAAATATATCCATACATTTTGAGAAGGGACCACATTTGAACAGCACCACATAAATATTTCATTTGAGGAAGAAAGCCTCACGAAAAAAATAGATAAACATTAGAAAAGGTTGCACTACAAAAGAAAAGAAATAGAGCTCTATTCATAATAATATTGAAAAAAAAAAGAAAAAAAGAATAGCACTTTCTTTCTTGATAATTTTATCCAATGGGGTGCTCCTTGGGTAGGGCCCGTAAGCATCTCGGGTTGCTCGCCTTCCAGATAGGCTAAGCTGACTTAAATCCCGGTCTGGACGTGAATTCTGGACCCGGTGAGTCAGGTTTAGGTCCACTTGACCTGCCTTGGACTCGAGTCAGGCATGGTCAGCCTAGACCCTACCAAGTCAGGTCGGGTTTGACTTGGGTTCAACCAGACAACAAAAATCACATGGAAAGAAATGTCATATTCCTTAGTGGTTTTCTCAAGGCTTCATTAAGCACATGCTAAAAAAAAATTAGTAATTTTTATGTATGAACCTGTAAAATTACAAAATTTACCCTTTGGCCTATAAGTTTTACAATTTTACCAAGGTCCTACTCCCCCATTTTAGTATTTTTCCCCACCAGTTCGATGTTTGAAACTTTTGTTTTTTAATTTTTGATATTTGTTAGGCTGTCTGATGTTCAATATATTGAACTGCCCCATTTGCAGGGCAGTCCAAAAACTACAACATCGAACTGCCTTATATTTTTTGTCCAACATTGTTTAAGACGTAAACCGATGTTCCAAATATCGAACTATCCTTTTTCAATCTTTTTATATTTTATCAGTTTAAGCTTTCAAATATGGGACCACTTTCATACTACTACTTTTTTCCTAAGCATATGTGTTCTCATGTTGAAAGCTTAGACTACTAAATATAAAAATGAGGAAGGATGGCCCAAAAATGTAAGGCGGTCCAATGTATGAGTTATCATACCACCCTACAAACGGGGTGATTGATATTTTAAACATCAGACAGCCTCACAAACGTCAAAAATTAAAAAAAAAAAAAAATTAAGAAAGATAAGCACTTGGGGGCAAAATTGAAATAAAAAAAATAAGATTCAAGGGAGTAGGATCTCGCGGTAAAATTACCGAGTTTATGAACAAGCGGTAATTTTACCTAGTCCATGAATAAAAATCCCAAAAATTTAACACTACGCTTCCAAAAAAGTTTATATTTTTTCTTTGGATAAGGTTTCCTCCTTCAAGTGGCTAGAATAATCAATAATGATCTCATTCCACGCTCTAACATGTAGGGCAATATGGCTCCCTTTTGGTGCCCTTTTGCTTTAGGGTTGCCATAAAATCCGCCATTAAAGTATGACCCATTATCTTCTTTCAACCTTTTCTTTCCAACTTTAAACTATTACCCATTATCTTATTTCAACCTATGCTTGGTAGTGTGTAGTTATTATGTTTCCCATTGTGCCAACAAAAATTGGGTTGACTCAGCTTAGTGGGCTTTTAGTAACAAACCAGCTGTTTTTAATTAGTAAGAGAAGAATGTGCAGGTTGCACATTATTAGACAAATGAATTGATTAATAAATTATATATGCATTAAAAAATGGGAGGCATAGGACCCAGGAGCACAAAACCAAAAGTTCCAATGCCATGTTATATAAAAAATCGTCACCCATGTGCTATGTGGGTGCATAAATATTCTAAGTATATTGTGAGGCCGCCCACCGACTTGTCTGTTTTAATTTTTGAGTGATATAGGACTGGAAATATGTTTCAAACCACTGTAAATTTATTTCCACCTCGCATTTGTGCAGTAGAAGCTCATTGGAGCTCGAAAAACAATGTAGATCTAGTATTTGAAGTAGGGTGTGGTTTCCAGGTTGCAACCTTAAACAATTCAGTGCACTTTCAAATTTTATCATAATATAGAATTTTGAAGTAAATTAGTTTTAGGATAATCTCAAAATCTATTTTTGTATCTAATTATAAAATTTTAAAATTAAAAAATGGTTAAAATCAAGTAGATCTATAAACATATGGAAATTTTGAAAATGGACGGCGTAGATAATACGTTGTAAGATGCACTATTTTTGAGACCCAAAACCTTTTTTATTTTTCATAGTCATACACCTCGATGTCAAGATGATCAATCACAAGGTTTTCCAACATTAAAACAACCGTTTTCGATTGATTTTTTAGGTGCATCCGTAGTTCTACATTTTAAAGTTGCAACCTTATATAAACTTTTCCCTTTGAGGAATCAAGTTTTTTGTATGGGAAAACTTCCTATATTTCACCTATATAAGTTATAAATTTCCTCCCATCCAGTCTTCCAATTTAGATCAAGTGAGCTACTAACTGTTCAGTCGAGATTTGATGCTTTAGGGTTTTTTATTTTTATTTTTTTATATAAATCATATGAATATAGAAATTCTTGCATGACATCATCTCAATAGGGCACACCTAAAGAAATATTTCAAAATATTTCTAGAAAAACTAGAATCATCAAAATACTAATGAAATTTTTAGAGATATTTTGGTTATTTTATTTTATCGAGAATACTTGTTTTATATTTTTTGCACGTACGAAGTTTTAGAGAGGAGTAGACCCCAAAATTTGGTGTTACAATGTTTTGTAGAAAACAAGTAAAAATAAAATAATGTAGAGGTGTGAGATTGTGATTGCGTCCATCTCAGCCATCTATTCATATTGGACGGCAAGATTGGGGTAAGAATATAACTAATATGCAGTAGGGGAAGTAACTTTTTTAATGTTTTTAACAATTTTTCACCAAATTCAATATTTCAAATAACGAATGGCATTTTTTTTCCAATTTACTTTTTTTTTTTCATTAACATTCGTAGGCCAGTCTATCCACCCCATATGTAGGACAGTATGTCATTAGAAATATGGGACAGCCTACATTTTCGTGCAGCTTTGTCAAAAATATAAAAAAACAACGGAAAGGGCTCGTCCAATGTTTGTAACATTGGAATGCGCCATAGGTTGTAGGGCAAAAAATTTAGAGCGATCCTATGTTTCACTTAACAACCATCCTACAAATGGAGCGGTTTTGATGTATTAAACTTCGGACCACCTCATGAATGTTGAAAAATAAAAAATAAAAATAATACATAGTTCGATATTTGCAATATGGAACCAAAGGTAAAATTGGGAGAAAAAAAAATCGGGGGAATAAGACTTCATGTTAAAATTACCTAAATTATGGACCAAAAAGTAATTTCGGAAAATTTCACCTAGTCCATATATTGAAAGCCCAAGAATTAAAGTGAATCATCCAAAAAAGGTACAAAATAGACCATTTTATAAGACTTTATATCCCGGTTTCATATTCATCGCCTTGGTGGTTAGATGATAGACCTAAAAATTTTTGGATTCAAAAATCACTTCTAAGATGAGTTTCGGGAGTCTTTTAACTTGTTGCAACAAATGCATCACTTAATGCACCCAAAGCCCTATCCTTTGTTCAAAGGGAAAGTATATAATGACATCATTTACCTTTTGGTATAAGGTGGTGAAATTAGGCGGCTGTATTTATTTCATCGATCAAGCTCAAAGTTTAAAAAAACTTTTTTCGAATTTTGTGATACACCCAAGCTATCCGATCTCACATCAGATGGTAGTAAATAATTGTAATTTCTATATACCAAAAGTAAATGATCTCCTTATATAACTGTTAGTCACTCGGATTAAGTGTTGCTCAAACTTGTTGTGCACGGAAGTTCTAAACCTGACGGGTTGATATTTGGCAAATAAAATACGAGAAATAAATCATCAAACACATACGTCACAAGAATATAAATATTATGTAGTTCACCCTAGAAAGACTACATCCACCTAGCAAACTGAAATCCATTGTACCGATGAAAATTACAGCAAAGATTTTATAACAAAGTTCCTTTCTAACTCTTGACAAAACCAATGACAGTTACAGCAAAGATCTTAAAAAAGAGAGTTACCTCTCTAACTCTTGAACAAACCATTTTAAACCACTCCATTTTCTTTCTCTTTACTTTTGGCAACCATTATCTATAAATACCAGATAGAGACGCATGAGAGCAATGAAAAATTGATTTTTTCTCTTTAACTAAAGAGAGAAACTATACAAAATTTCTATAGGAACCACTTCTCTATAAAAACCAAACTTTCCAATAAAGTTGCACAATCACAATATTTCTTTCCATAAGAACTTTTCTTTTCTCTAAGAGAAAATCTTGCGTCTCATGCATAAGAGTCCTCCCCCCCCATATATATAAGATTAAGAATCTACTATAAATAGTAAACTTTCTATACATATTACATATCTCACAACCAAAAGTTATATCTAATAGCCCTAATTTTATTAGACTTTTATATTTGTTTAGAAAACTTATCAATATTATTATCAATCCTAATATGAGAATATCCTTATGTGAGTAATTTTGAATAACACCAAATCGAATAAAAATTAGATGTGAAAATATCAAGCCCAATCTCAAACAGTTGTATTGGGCTTTCAAACAAGAGAAGAGATGCTAAGAATTGGAACTAGGATTGGTCTTATGCTATTTAAAAGCAGTATATTCTTTTCATTATGAAGATAAATACAACGCATTTGACACATAAAAAATGTCCACAAATAGGAAAAAAAAAATCAAAATCTCAGGAATTTTATGAAGCTCCCTGCCCTCTCATGGTAGACAAGCAAGCGATTAATTCTAAATCGTAGGTATTGAAACCTAAGAGCTCCTCGTCTCTATGTTTATAGCCTTTCAAAATAACATACCACCCTAATAGTTAAAGAAAATTTAAAAATAAAAATTAAAAAACAGAGAAAGGGTCAAGCAAAAGTCAGAAAGAGATGGCAAGCAACATTTGCACCCACTCTAGCAAACACCATTAGTCTTCCTGGCCATGACCAACTTCTTCCAAGCAGTGGTGATCTCCCTCTGTGTCTCGATTACCGATTTCTTCACTACCCCGCCATTGACAGGGGTCGCCTCCACGGTCGTGACCGAAACCTTGGCCGTGATCTTCGGAGGCAGGGCATCAAGCTCATGCAGTGCTTTTTGTATATCCATCACCAGGCGCTCAGCCAATGTCCTGCTGAAGTCTTCACGCACCACGACTCGCAGCACGGTAATGTGTTGTGCATCAGGAGGCATAGTGTAGGCGGGCACGATCCATCCGAAGCGGCGAAGGTACTCCGACACCTCAAACTCATCGTGGCGGCTGTTGTCTTTGAGGGAGAAGGCCACAAGAGGGACCCCATTGTCTTTTGACACAATGTTGAACCTCCCAGTCTTTTCGAGACCCTCCTTAAGGACCGTGGCATTTTCTCTACAGTTCTCCATTACATTTTGGTACCCCTGTTAAGAAAAAAGAGCAAAAATTGTAAGGCTTCATCCCTTTTGAACCTTTCGGTCTATATTTTTTTGGTTTAAGCCGGGCTTTTATATGTCTCGACAAGTATATAGTCCCGAGACATCTATATCTTTGATTAGCTTATTCGGGGTGAGCCAAGAAATGTTCTGAACACGACTGGTGTTAGCTTGTATAACATTATTCTCAGTTCACTCCCAATTGTCTAATCAAAATATTATGGGTCCCAAACATATAAATCAAATTAAATGTGTCTAGAAATACATAGAGAAATTTCTCCTTTTAATTTTAAGCAAGGAAATAAAGTATAATTGAGAGAAAGGTTTTTTTTTTTTAACTTTAACCATGAGTAATTAAGATAGAGTTGTAATGAAGGGTAAATGTGGTACCTCAAAGCCAAGGCGAATGAGCTGATAATACTGAGCGATGACCTGGCTGGAACCTGAAAATCACACCAACATTATTATTATTAGTCTTTTCCATTTTCACTTCATGCCAAGCAAAACTTGTCATAAAATATGCTCAACAAAAAGAAATCGTCTCAAAAGAGAAATTTTATATCAAGAAAGAAGTAAATAAGTTTCGCTTTTAGTGTTAGACACATGTAGGTGCATAGCCCATTAAACTAAAAGTGTTCAAAATGTCCAAAAGCTGATAGAGACCATATGTCTGTTTTCTAGAGAGAGAAAGGGAGAAAAAGAGAGAGAGAGATATCTGTTTTCTAGAGAGAGAGCAAATAATCTTTGTTGGGCAGTGCCAAGGAAAAAAAAGGTAACAAAGGCAAAGTACAATGTCACAATTCAGGGTGGGGGATGAGGTAGAGAGAGGGAGCTTTGCATCCAAAAGAGATCAAGTAAATTTAGAGAGAGAGAGAGAGAGATTTTGATGTGTCAAAAAGTCACAGCAGGCAGATTTGAGGTCCGTGAAGTAGTTATGAAGGCGATCGGCAATTGTATTATTTGAAAACAATAAGTGTTCGGTGATCTAAAAGTTTGGAAATTGTTAATTTCAACTATAGTTGTGATTGTGATTTTGAAATTTTTTCATCTTGAAAATAAAAATTGCAGCCTTGAATATTTATTTTCCACCCTCTATTTTGACACAGTAGTGGAAGCACCTTATTTTGACGTCCATTGCTAAGATATATGTCTTATCCATGAGGATACGCACGTATTACCAAATTAAAATATAAAAAACCACTATCCAACTTTAAATCTTTAACTTGCATTACATATACTACTATTATTTGGTAATGAAACATTTCTCCCTAAATATTAAATTGATTTTCGTGCTTTTAAATTACAAACATGATATTATCAGGGGAACTATAAAAGAAAACCTTAAAATATCGCGATAAATAAAATTTACTAAGATATTATCAAAATTAAAATTATTAATCATAAAAAAAAAAAAAGATATTTAATTTGTTGAGAAAGACAATTGGGATTAGTTGGTTACCTTTAGAGAAATTGAGAGTAAAAGTGGGTTGATCAGCTCCCAAATAGTTGATATGGAAGATGAGTTCATCAGGTAAATCCTCCTTATTTCTCCAAATAACCCACCCAATACCAGCATATACCAAACCATACTTGTGTCCACTAACATTAATACTCTTCACCAAGGGAAGCCTAAAGTCCCATTCCAAATCAGGATAGAGAAAAGGTGCAATAAACCCACCACTAGCTGCATCAACATGAATAGGAGTATCCCAACTGTACACAAAAAGCATCAAATAATGTCAATAAGTAATGATCACTAACATTAAAATTGGTTAATTCGTTATCATCATCGCCAAATCTTATTTCTAACTAATTAGAGTTGGCTACACATATTCTGATCCATCATTCTGTAGTATTAAATGTCATATTCTCAATGAAGACATAAGTCCCCATATCTTTTCTCACTACTTCAGAACCTACCCAAAACAGCGTTGTTATTAAAATTATATTGAACAAATACTAGAACCTATGTAACCAATGTTAAATGCATAACCAGGTTTTGAAAATACCATATCCCAAATGATCCATAAATAAACTTAAAAAATATAAGAAAGGAAATCTTTAAGAATAAATTTATGCAATTGTATATATAGTTCACCAATTATCCACCGTCGCTTCCCTATAAGGATGAATAGATGGGTGAACAGCGCATTGTATACGATACACAACTAGTGTTCGCTAGAGCTTTTCCTCCCCAAATTTGCTCGAAATTTGGACTTATGCGAGATGGTATTTTGGTACAACTCAACTTGTGCCATCCAAATTTGACATCTCGGGGGCGTTTAATAACCGTTTATTTTAGGATATCCTACCCATTTTTCCTCTACATCCTAAAAAAAATATTAATATATTTAAAAAGATCATGTGCTATCATTGGTTGGTGCATACTGTACGCTTCCTCCCCATTAGGAGGATCTCTGGTAGAAATTTTGGAATTCACTTTAGAATCATCAATTCTATATTTTCGGGGAAGTTTCAAGTTCTTAAGTAAATCAGACAACCAAAATTGAAGACATTTTTGAGTTCAATCTTAAGAAATTAACTCTTTTACATTGGGTGCTAGGTTCAGGATGTGAAATCCCAAAAAATTTAAAAAAATCCCAATCCTAAAAACCATTTCTACATAGGATTTTACCGAGGGAGTGAATGGATGATATACTCCCACATGACCGAGGGAGTAAAAGTCTTCCTCCATTAATAAAAAGGTGTGGTTTGTATAAGGCTGAGATTGTAAACAATCAAAGTAAGGCGCACCTTCAAATATGTTTCAATATCATAATTTTTTTAGAGCAGATTTATGAACACTTAAAAATCTTAAAAATTGACAGTCTAGATAATGTATTAACAAGATAAATTATTTTTAAGATTTCAAACCTTTGTTTTCTAATATCTATAAATATTGTGGTCAAGATGATTGAATTTGAGGGCTTTTCAACATTGAAACAAACTCTTTTTTTGAAGCACGATGATATTTGAGAATTGAACCCAAAAGGAGAAGAAGAAAATGGTAGTAAAAAAATACTCACCCAGTTTCCTTGTTCTTCTCCACCAAGAGATCGTTGAGGAGCTTCACATCTTCAAATTCACCATTGAGAGTGGAACCCAAAATGGCAGCCACACAAATGGTGTTCTCATCCACCATTTCCACAGCCTTTCTTGGGTCCATCACATAGTAACCCTCACGCAGCTTCACTTCCTTCAATTCCACTTCAAAATACCTTGCAAACTTTTCCCAACAAACCTATAAAATTCACAAAAAAAAAAAACGAAACACAATAAAATAAAACAAATATTAGAGGGAAAAAAGACTATTTCCATTGGTACATAAAAGATAGGAATTCCAAAGATGAAAGGTAAATAAAACCAACAATGTTTGGGGTCGTTGTGAAATTTAAATTACTTTAGATTTCCCTCAATAATTTTAAAAAACAGATTTCCCTTAGTGATCGCAAACTTAATTTAGCTTAGCTATTTCCCAAAGCCAAGAACAAAATAAAAGTAACAAAAGAAAGAAAAGAAGAACAGGAGCATCTTATACGATAAGACCCTCAAGCAAAAGAGCTATTGGGGAGGATTTCTTCGACCCTAAATTTTAGGACATACCTACAAATGAATAGATGATTATTTTATAAAAAAAAAAGTTAGAATTTTGAGTTCTTAACCACTCAGATCAGTAAAACTCAGTAAAACTTTTCACAAAAAAAGTATGATTATTCGGGGGGATGTTGCTGCCGCAAATGGAAACGACAATAT